CTTCAGCAATTAATATAATTCTGATTTGGCGGTGATGAACTCCTTTAGCTTTTTTTTATTAGTGAAGCTCTTTATCTGGCCTTCAATTGTGAGTGATAGCTTTGCTGGGTAGATTATTTTTGGCTGAAGGTTCTTGCTATTCATCACCTTGAATATTTCTTGCCATTCCCTTCTGGCCTGCATGGTTTCTGTTGAGAAGTCAGCTGACAATCGTATAGGTGCTTCTTTATAGGTTACTACCTTCTTTGCTCTTGCTTCTTTTAATATTCTCTCTTTGTCTTTTGCTCTTGGAATTTTAATAATGATGTGTCTTGGTGTGGTACTCTTTGGATTCCTTTTGTTTGGAGTTCTGTGCACTTCCTGGACTTGTAAGTCTAATTCTTTCACCAGGTGGGGGAAGTTTTCTGCCACTATTTCTTTCAGTATGTTTTCGATATCTTGCTCTCTCTCATCTTCTGGGACCCCCATAATTCTGATTTTAGTTCGCTTGAAGTTGTCCCAGAGGTTTCTTACATTATCTTCAATTTTCTGGATTCTCTTGCCTTCTACAATAGCTTCTGTGGAGGAATGTCTTCTGGCTCTTTATGTTCCAAATCTTTGACTTGATTCTTGAGATCTTCCCTTCTGTTTTTAGGACTCTGTAAAATATATTTTATTTCAGACAATGTATTCTTTATTTCTCGTTGATCCCTTATTATTTCTTGTTGACTCCTTATTAATTCTAGTTGACCTCTTTTCATATCCTCATAGGCCTTATCCATCTTTTCTAGGAAATTCTTGAAAAACCTTATAAGCGTAGATTTGAACTCTATATCCAGATGCTTTTTGTCCTCCATTTCTTTCGTTTGTGATCTATTTTGTCGTCGCATTTCGCAGTTACAGATGGGACAGGGTTTCAGGGTGGAGCCTGCAGCTTTGGCTTCCGTCAGCCCCGCCCTATGCGTGTCCTTCAGTGCTCACTGCTGGTGCCTCTGAGAGGAAGTTGCCCTCGATTTTCGCCTGCTGCCAAACAGTCTATGCTCTCCCACAATGAGCCCGGTATTGGGGTTCAGTTCAGTTGGAAGTGGAGTTGGAGGTGGCGTTCAGAGCAGTCTGGAGCCCCAGTCTCCTTCCGGTCAGGGCAATCCCTCGGCACAGCTGACCGTCCCTTCTCTGCGCGCAGTTTGCGTGCCTCCGGGACCTCCTTTTGCCTCTCCCCGGGGTTCCTCCTTACAGCCCGGCTCCCTATGGCTGAGCCTGAGTCCCCGGGGTCTGGCCTAGAACTGGGGTTCAGAGCAGTCGGGGGCCCAGCACAGTCGAAGTTTTATCTCCTTTCCGCTAGGGAACGCCCTCCAGGCACTCAGCCTCCCTCCTCTCCGGCTCCGTCCTCTCCGCGCCTCGTCTCCGTACCTTGGGCTTTTCCAGCTCCTCCGCTCCTCCTTCTGGTTTTCTCCTTGCTTCTCGCTGTAGAATTTTCAGTCAGTCAACCTTCCTGTAGTTCTGGGCAATGTCCGTTTTATATTTTAGTTGTATTTTATTGAAATTGTTGTGTGCGGCTGCGGCTAGGTGTTCACCTGGGCGCAGCCATCTTGGATCTCCTCGAAAATATAACTTATTTTAAATATAACTATTAGTCTTTATGCTTAAATGCTCCACTATGCTATCTCATAATATAAACAGATTAAAAAAATTAATATATTTTATTGATTTTTACAGAGAGGAAGGAAGAGGGATAGAGAGTTAGAAACATTGATGAGAGAGGAACATCGATCAGCTGCCTCTTGCACACCCCCTACTGAAGATGTGCCTGCAACCAAGGTACATGCCTTTTACTGGAATCAATCCTGGGATCCTTCAGTCCGCAGGCCAATGCTCTAGCCACCGAGCCAAACCAGTTAGGGCTAAATAGGTAAAATTTGAGATGTAAAATATTAAAAGCAAAGACCATAAAATGTTTCATAACATATCACGACATTAAGTAAATTCCAGGCCAAGGATGTCTAACGATAGAAATAGGACAATGGTGATCATTTCTCCCTTTTCTTGATTGTCCTAACACTCCTATTTTTTTTCCCATGCCTTCTCAATTTCCTTTACAGACTCTTCTATTTCTGTCCACACTTCAAAATGTCAGTGTTTCCCTGGATTCTGTTCGAGCTCTCATTTCTCATCGATCCTGGGTGAGTTTACACATCCTTAGGTAATGTCTCCATTTGTAAATATAGCCTAGTCCTGTTCCCTGAGCTCCAACTTCCTTTATGTGACTCACTTTCTAGTCTAGGGGTCAGCAGATTACACCCTGTGGGTCAAATTGAGCACACTCCTAATACAATGGCAGAATTGAGTCATTGTGACAAAGAACATATGGCCTGTGAAACCTACAATATTATTATCTGGCCCTCCACAGAATAAGTTTACTGGACCTGTTCTTGCCTAAGTAGTGCCTACTATTGAGTTTTAGGTATGACTGAGCTTATATTTTTAAATAATGGGATAGGCCTACCAATAACAGATTTACCTATGTATGAAAAAAGGAATCAAGCTGTAGATTAACTCTGGGATTCACAACCAAGTCCCATAGATAAGGACTGCAACAGCAAGGTGAAGATATATTTTGTTAGGAATTCTGTCATGCTGGGGACATAAGGAGTCTAGTGCACAATTCTCATTGCTGTAGAATTACCTAGAGAGCATTTAAAGACAGATTTCAGACCTCATTCCCAGAGATTCTGATTCAGTGAATCTGGGGAAGGGCTTGGAAATCTGAAATTTTAGAATGTACTCCAGGTAGTTTGGATATATAGCAAGTAAGTTGTCAAAATTTGGAAGTCAATTGATTTGAAAAATCCATTAAGCAAGTAAGATAGTCTTTTTATTCACCACGAATCATTAAAAAGAATCCAATTCGCCGAGGCCGATTTGGCTCAGTGGATAGAGCGTAGGCCTGCGGACTGAAGGGTCCCAGGTTCAATTCCGGTCAAGGGCATGTACCTTGGCTGCAGGCACATCCCCAGTGGGGGGGTGGGGGGAGCTGCAGGAGGCAGCTGGTAGATGTTTCTCTCTCCTTGATGTTTTAGCTCTCTATCCCTCTCTCTTCCTCTCTGTAAAAAATCAATAATATATATTTTTTAAAAGAGGCCAATTCATTTCTCTTGATTTACATAATTCTGAGTTTCTAGATTTAAGGGAATGATAATAAATAATTCAAAATCTCTTAGCAATTATTTTTTTCAACCCCTCTCACTAAGGATTATGGAATACAAACTCTCTGTTTCCATATTGTTTGATGTTTTGAAAGTGCTTTTCACATCTTCTCTCAACAATCCAGTGAGAGAGAGCATGAGATTCAATTTGCTTGATCATACTAAGAGCATTTGCTTGGGCTTTACCACACTTTACAAAACCCACTTCCATTCTGTTTATTCATGCATCCATTCAGCAAGATTCTTCTCAACACTTGCCAGTAATTGTTAGTTACCAAGACCCAGCAGTGAACTGGATAAAATGCCTGCATGGAGTTTACATTCTAGTTGGTGCCTTCTAGATGTGCCTCCTGTAGGAAAAATTTCCCCAGCCTTCATCTTCTCATCAGGAATTTCCCTCAAAACTGATTACAGGAAGGGTACCATTTGTACCCTGGCCACACCATATCCCGTCATGGAAAGCCGATCCTGCTGCTGCTTCACGTTTACATCCGTTCTCTCTGATGTCCTAGGTGCAGTGACTGAGTTACTGGACTCGTCTCCCGAAGGATGCGACGCCTGTTGGTGGTTAGCTCCAAGTCCTCTTAGGAGTAAGGAGTGCCTTTTAAATGATTCTAACATCAACATGAACCGGAACCTCGCCTGGCTGAAGGTTCGAGCCTGCACTGACAGATTCTTTCGCAGAAGAGCTGAAAAATCTAACAAACGGAGGGAACCGTTTGGTAAAAGTAAGCAGGAGAACGCCGGAGCTGGAAGAGCCCTCAGAAGCGGAGAGCAGAAGCCGGAGGCCCAGAGAGGTTGTCTCCCCGCCTCAGGCCACACAGCCCGGCTGGCGGGGTGGGCCCGCGGCCACAGCTTCCTCACGTCTAAGTGGGGCTCAGCCTTCACACCGCTCCCACCGCTTCTTTCTCTCAGTCACTCCGCACTGCTCCTGCTTAAGGAGTCGAGTGGTTAGAACGTAAAAGTTGAGGCAATTCCACAAACAGGTGTCCGGCCCGCGGACACGGAGTCGGGAACGTGGTCTCAAGAACGCTCCCTCCAAAGTTTCTTCCAGGCGCTCGTCCCTCTCAGGTCGCCGGCTGCGAGGCCGCGGTGTCCGCGGCGGCCCCCGACCCGCTTCGGAGGGAGATGCCGCGCGGGCGGCCCCTCGGCCACCGGGGCCGCGGCCCGCGAAGCCGGCGCGGAGGAGCGCGAGGCGCGCGCGGGCCGAGGGGGCTGGGCCGAGGCGGGGCGCGCGGCGGCGGCGGGCGGCGCGGGGGGACCCGGCGGCGGCCCCCGCCCCCCGAAGTCCGTCCCCGCGCGGGGCCGGGAGCGCGGGGCGGGGAAGCCGCGGCCGCGCCACGTCCGTCACCCGCCCCGGAGCGGGCGGTGCAGGCGGCTCCGCGCCGGGGGCTTTTGTGTCTGCGACTCGGGAGCGGCGCGGGCGCGGACTCCTCCTCTGAGGGCGCCGAGCGCCGCCAGGGCCCGCCGCCCGCCTCCCTGTCAGCGGCTCCGGCGGCTGCGGCGGCTCCGGCGGCCGAGGGGCGGGAGGAGGAGGCGGCGCTCCCGCCCGCACGTGCCGGCCCCGCGCGGGGGGCCGCCCCCCAGGCCGCGCTCCCCGCAGGCGCCGCGCAGCCCCGCCGGCCCCCGCGCGCCGCCCGGCCGCCCCGAGGCCTCGTCCTCCGCCCAAACTTTGCAAAGTCGGCCCGCGGCCCCGCCGCCCTCGGCCCCGGCCCCGGCCGCGCCTGGGCTCGGAGGCTCGTCTCCCCGCCGCCGCCGCGGCCCCGCGAGGAGGAGGAGGAGGAGGCGGCGGAGGAGGAGCCCTCGCCGCCGCGGCCGCCGCCGCCGCATCAAAGAGACCGAATTCCCGCGGCCTGGGGGGGAGTCATGCTCCGAGGTCTGTAATGTCCGCGGAACAGGAGAAGGATCCCATTTCGCTGAAGAGAGTTCGAGGTAACCGAGACGGGCGCCCGGCGGAGGGGGTCCGGGGCGCGGGGGGCGCGGGGGCCGCGCGCCGGGCCGCGGGGAGGCCACCGGCGGGGTCCGGGCCTAACTCCGCGCAGCCCGCGTCCCGCCCGCCCGCGCCCCGGGCCCAGGCGGCCGGGGAGGCGGCGGCCCCCGGCGCCCGCGACACCCGCGCGGAGCCCTGGGCGCCCCGACTGGGTGTCGGGGAGGCTGCGGCGGGCGCACCCCGCATCCCTTCGTCCTCCCCGCTCCTCTTCCCTCTGTCACCTTCTCTCCTTCGCAAGACACAGCACAATAGGTGCCTCAGAGGCTGAGACAGGGACACCCCCTTTCCCCCCGCCCTGCAGAGACCACGGACGAGGCCCTCCCCCCAAAAAAGTAAGCGATGCCCTCCCCCCAAAAAGTAAGTTGGACTCTGCACGGGAGCGAGCTGAGGTTCTGGAAGGAGGTGCACTGGCCCCCGCGGCTCCTGCAGCCCCCTCCCGCCCCCCGCCCCCGAAGACAACACACACACAGCGGTGTTTACCCCCCAATAACAGGAGAAACTGTCCATCCAAAAGGCATTTTTCTCCGTCGGCTTATGGATAAGAATCGGACCACCCCACATCGGTTCCATACATGATCGGTTTGCTTCTTCCTTGTACACGTTAGGCATTTTGGCTGCCTGCCGCCTTACCACTCTCTAAGAAACATCAGAGGGAGCCATGTACCAGACAAAAGACGATGCATGTAAGTTGACAGACACCCCCCCCCAAGTGCAGTCTGGAAACGTGGAGGATACCCACCAGCATGTTTATTTCCAGCCCTCAGTGGAGTTAAGGGTTGGAAACCCCCAACATGGATGCAATACCGTTAGTTCATTAAGCAAATGTTTATTGAGCATCTACTGTGTGCTGCCAGGCATGGTTCTTGGCCTTGAGAGCTGGACCCTGAACAAAGCAAAAGGCAGTTGTCACCCAGCAGAAGTGGCCCCTCTGGTGGGGGGGGGGGGGCAAATGGCTGGTGAACAAATGAGGGGGAGAAGGTCAGTGACAATGCTGTGGAGAGAAGCAAAGCAGGAGACGTGGTTAGGAAAGACATAAGGGGATGAGGAGGTGGCCGTGACATGTATGTGTAAAGGCCGCTGCTGGAACTTGATGTTTGCACAGAGACCCAGAGGAAGCGATAGAGCAGAGCCTGATAAAGATGTGAGGGAAGAACAGCCTGTGTCTGGGCAAAAGGACCAGCAAGTGCAAAGGCCCTAGGTCTGGAATCTGCCCGGTGTGCTCAAGAAATGGCAAAGATGCTATTTTAGCTGGCACTGAGAGAGCAAAGGGAGAGGAGTAGGAGCTGAGTTTGGGCATAAGGGGATGGATTGTGTATTGGGGGCCTGGGGGTCCTTCAAAAGACTTCGGCTTTTATTCTGACCGGAACTGGACGTTTTGAGCAGAAGAGGGACTGATCTGACATGTTGACAGGGTTTCTCTGGCTGCTGTGGGGAGAAGAGACTGTAGAGAACAGGTGGAGGAAGCAGGGAGGCTAGTTAGGAGATGATTGTAATAATGCTTTCATCCAAACAAGATGGAGTGCTTTATACATCAGTAAGTGGTCAGGTAAATTTCCCATTGGCTTAAGTGATGTAGAGATCAAGGACCATTGTCATTCATCTGTGTTTTTGTTCCATGGGACTAGAGATTAGATGTATGGAACTGGCTTTTGACACAGTTACAATGTGGTATTCAAAAACCATCCACTCAGAGGTTTAGAGATTGATTTTCTTAGCCATTTAAGCAAGCACATAATTTAGAGCAGAATATTGTGTTTAAAGGCTTATTATCAGCACAGTCTTTCATTTGGTGACAGTTTTCTATTTCAATTTTCTTTTCTGTTTGTGGTTGTGAATTGCCAAAGCCTGTAAGGAATAGGCCTTTCTGAGATGCATTGATTCCTCTGATTTTTTTTTTTCCATATCGTTTTTCCTATTATTATAAATTATTTTAGGGTTGAAGGAAAAGGAAGAGAGCTATCAAGTTTATATCTTTGAACCCAGTTATCAAGTATAATTTTAAATAAAATGGACATATGTTTTATGTCCATTTTTATGGACATATTATGGGTCAAGAGCACAGACCAATCTTCATTTTGTTCCAACTGCTTGCTACTTTTAAGTTTGATGCTGAACTGTTGGGAGTTGGCTCAGGTGTACCAGAATACAAGGTAAAGTATTCTTTAAAATAATTTTAAAAAAAAAAAGTCAATGTAAAGCGGGGTTTTTAAAATAGCAAGTCATTTTGTAATAATTAGAACATAAATTTTTAAAAACAATTTTGGATTATTTTATAATCCATTAAAGGTACCAGAATATCTACATGAGCTCTTCTGCTGTTACTCAATTCTGGTGAACTTCACTATCCTGGAACTTTTGGTTGTAATTTGTGTCGTTAGATTGCATGCAGGATGTGGTGTTTACAGAGCATAATCTCTTGAGCAGTGCTCCTCAAACTTTCCCATCACTCGTATATACAGACAGACTTTTTAATAGTTATAGTTATTTATTTATTTCATGTGTATTATAAAAAGAAGTCAACAAACTTCTTGCTTAGGATAAGGCTAAGATATTATAGGTGTAATTCAGATATGGCAAAATTATGGCGTGACTAAGGACTTTACAGTAGTATTCTCTGCCGACCAAATGCATCATAATCCTGTGGGATGCTTATTAAAAATGCATAATCCTGCTGGGACTGGTTTGGCTCAGTGGATAGAGCGTCGGCCTGCGGACTGAAAGGTCCCGGGTTCGATTCCGGTCAAGGGCATGTACCTTGGTTGCGGGCACATCCCCGGTGGGCGGTGTGCAAGAGGCAGCTGATCAATGATTCTCTCTCATCGATGTTTCTAACTCTCTATCCCTCTCTCTTCTTCTGTGTGAAAAATCAATAAAATATATATTTTTAAAAAATGCATAATCCTGGACTCACAGAATCGGGATTTTGGGAGATTTTTCTCCACCTTTAACAAGATCCCTGGTGTTCCTTATGCACACTAAAGTTTGAGAGCTGCTGCTCTCAGAGACATAGCCAATGCACCAAAGAAAGACAGAGCCAATGTGCCAAAAGGTTGCTTGTTGACCTGGATTGCAAAAGTGAGTGGACCAGAGAAAGCTGATTTGTGGTCTTCTAAACTTGTCCCCATGTTTTAATATTAGATTCAGAATTGCTCTTAAATGGCAAAGTAACTTACTCCTACTGTCTATCAGCTCTTACCACTCCCAGACCCTCAACCCTTGATTGTAAAACACATCCATGAAGATAGGTACAGTATCTTGAGTGTCTTTATGTATCTCCCCTAATTGCTTTGTGAATGAATGAGTGAATACATGAAGTAATTCATTTATATCTTTTTTATTCATATATTTATATTGCTTTCTGATTGTCCATAGCCCCTTATACTACTTTTACTTGTTTTTTTTTCTTAGAATGGTACCTACCATACTTACTTTAACCAACACTCCCATTCCCCAGTGTTTTTAAAAATCTTAAGTGTCAATCTGATGACAATATTCATTTGATTACTCAACAAATATTTATTGAGCACTCATAGTGCCAGACAGTGGGAAGTCATGACACTGGTCTTTAAGACATTTTTAATCTAGTCCTGGATACTGGCATAAGCACACATTTATTAAGAGCATTATAAGTACTGTGGCCATCTACAGGAAATAAAGGTACATATAGTCTACCTTTAAAGAAATCATGAAAGACATCCTGAAAAGAGTTCTAAGAAGTAGTTGGTAAAACTATATAGAAGTGTAAAACTACATAGAAGTGCCCTAGCCGCTGTGGCTCAGTTGGTTGAGTATCATCCCATGCAGCAAAAGGTTGCTGATTCGATTCCTTGGTCAAGGGCACATATGGGTTTTATCTCTGGCAGGATGTTTCTTCCCTCCCTCCTTCCCTTTCTCCCATTCTCCTCCCTCTCTTGCTCCCTCCCCCCTCCATCTACTCTCAATCTCAAAAAAAAAAAAAAAAAAGTCAATAAAAAACTATATAGGGGAAATAAAAAGCATGAGGGGTGAGACAAAGGTATAAGAAATCAGTGATGATTTGGGAGAAAAACCACATTTTGAAGTAGTAAAGTTAGTGGTGCAGATGTGACTTAAAAGAGCTTGGTGGTATACTTGGCGGTGTGACTCAGTGGTTGTGTGTTGACCTATGACCTAGGAGGTCATGGTTTGATTCCTGTCAGTGCATATGCCTGAGTTATGGACTCAAACCCATAACTCAGGCATATGCACTGACAGGGCCGTGTAGGAGGCAGCTGATAATCATTCCCTCTCATCATTGATGTTTCTTGTCTCTCCCTATCCTTCCTCTCTAAAATCAATAAAAATACATTTAAAAAAAGAGGAAGAAGAAGAAGCTTGGTGGGAGAAAGAAAAACATAGCCAATAGCTTGGAAAGATAGAATCAAGAGAACATTTGTATGGGTTCTTTATTTTTTTCTCTCTTGTAAATAGATTTAAACATATTTGTAGACTTAACAGAAGAATTTTATGTAGAAGGAGAGGAAACTAAAAAAGCAACAGAAAAGAGAAGCAATTCTTTAATAAAGCATTCAGTACATGTTTTTTAATATCTACCATGTGCTAGGCACTCACTGTTCTAGAAACAGATGAAGCAGGTAAGGCCCCTCTTCTCATAAATTAGGTCTCTGCAGATGAGAGAAGGGGAATAACATTAAGAATGCAAATGGAGAGTTAGTTGGGTTTTTTTTATTAAGGTATTTATGTGTACGTATCTTACCATTGCCCCCAAAGAGTTAGTTTTGGATAAAAAAGAGAATGGATGAAAAAAGACAGAAATTTAAGGATGAAGAAGGAAGCTAAGACATTCATTTCAGTTGAAATGCTTTTAACCAGAGTTAGAAATTACATAGGAAAGGTAAGGATGTATTTTAGAATGGGATAATAAGACAAATGTCATAAAAGTGCTAAAAAGTAGGCTTTACTAAAAAATACAGACTATATAGGTGTATGGAAGATTTGGATTAAGATTGGAAAAGAAGCATAATTTATGTAGTCACAGAATCAAGAGGATGAGAAGGTGAGAAAATGTCTAAGGAAAGATTTTTTGTTTTGGTGTTTTTGTTGTTTTGTTTCTTCATTGATACATGTAAGGGCTAGGCAGATTATAGGAAAGTGAGTGGTTTTCAACACATTGAATGAAAATCCCCATGGGATGTCCCAGAGTACACAACAAATATTATGGTTTGGAGCTTAGGCAGGTGATCAGAGTCAGAAATAGGAATCGGGAAGTTATCAGTAAACAGGTGAATTCTAATTAATGCCTTGGGAGTAGATGAGCTCTCTCAAGAGAGTTAAAAGTGAGAAGAGAAAAACTTTGGAAACACAAATATTTAGGAGACAAAAGAGGAAAGAGGACTCTGAGGAGTAGAATGTGCCAGAATAGCTAAGAGAGTTAGAGGAGAAAAACCATAAAGAAGGTCTCACAGATATATGTAAGGGCCAGTGGATTTATAAGAGATTAATGAATTTTGTTTCTAAGGTATTGAATGAAAAGTATCTATCTGTGAGATGTCCAGTATGCTTTTTCTCCAATAATCCCTACCATTTATCCAGTGACCCAAACTCATCCCTCACTCCCCTCCCAATAATGTTCCAAATATATGCCCCTTAATATGTGTGGGGTTTATAAATATATTTTTATTGATTTCAGAGAGGAAGGGAAAGA